TACTCGGTGTCGTTAGAACGAAAAAAGTTGATATGACATTTATACAAAATATTAAATTATTAAAGGAATACATATTTTTTAAAACCCACGTTTCGGAGGTTATTTAATGTGAACCTCCAGATGTGTAATGCGGTATCAAAATTCTGATGGAAATACTGACGATATATGTTTTTAACACATGACCTATAGGTAGTTTTATATATAAACTGGAGTTCTGCAAAAGCTTTGTAAAATAAAAGTAGATGAGCAATATAAAAATTGTATAGAAATATTATATTTTCTATTCTGGCCCACGGATATTCAGCCCAAGCGTAAAATAAGACGTCCGTCGACGTATATTTATATATATTATACACACACACACACACACAAGAATATTGTTGTTGTGTGCATGACAGATAATCGGCTTTACATATTAGACCGTGCAGACTTATATAATCCGAGTTACAATTTCAACTTGTTTTTTTCTATTTGAGTCTTCTTTTCATCCGATGTTTGTTTTTCCGTCCCGATCTTAAATAGCAGTAGATTATATTCTTTTGATATAGCGTTAATGCATTATTAATCTTGTCGAACATCTGTGTGTATACTGTATATTATTATTCAGTTAATTTATCTCTTCGGCTGCATTTTCGTCTCCCCCCTCATCCACTCTTTAATTTCGAATTCTATTAATCCTACTTAAACATCTGTAAAAAAAAAAATAAATAATAATAATAAATTTATATCACAACCGTTTTTAAATGTTTTTATTAAAATATTACAAATTTAATTCACTTATAATATTTTATTTTTTCTATAGTAAAATATAGTACTATTTTTTTGAATCTATTCCTCGAAACGTAGAAAAATTCGTGATTTTTTTAAAAAAAAAGCAACGTTTTGATAAATTATTATATATGATTTCGAAATTGTTTATGCAAACTATTTTTTCATACTGGAATGTAAGTATACTGTTGATTTCATAGATATTTTTATTGAAAGTTTTTATTTAAGTTTAATTTAATTGCGATTGCTTGTGTAAAGTATTATTGAAATTGCGACGGTAAAAAATTAATTAGTAGTATTTTTTATTAAATTGGAAAAAGCAGACGTTATTAATGTCTGGATATTGATTTGTTTTTGTCTTTAAATTAAGTATATAGCGTTTATATTTTTCACTTTAACATTATTCTGGGAATCTTCTGTTGGGATATTTTAGATTGGGAGAGTAGCGATGAATGTATTGAATTTACTATGACGTTTATTTTTTTCTGTGAATTATCTTTCTACCAGCAACTTAGCTTCGATTTTAAATTATAGCACAAAACCGAAAAAAAAAAACGTATAAATAATGGACAATTTTACGAAAAATAATACTTTTAAATTTTTTTTTTTTTTCGTTTTAATTCAGGTTTAAATATCCGATTAAAGAGCAAAATGTTGATAGAAAACCTGTATTTACTTTTCCTAGACGTGGTTAAACTTTTAGAACATTTGAATAAATGTTGAGCTATTTATATAGCTATAGGCATTTTAATTTTGTCAGTTTTTACGTAATTTTTATTTGGTAGGTATTCTATAGTTAAATTTTTATACTTGACAAAAATATTTGAAAATATGATAGAAGGTTCATTATTATTAGTCATTCGATTATTTTTATATAAGTTTTAATATCAAATTTTGACGGAAATCGTAAATATTACGGTTTTTCAAAACACGTATAACCGAACTTCGCTCTGAATCGTTTTTCGTTATCACTGGTTTATCGTTGGTTACAGGTATAAATTAAATAACTTTATGTATCCCACCTTCCTCACTATTTACTTACAACATAAACTGCACCTGTTCCCAGTATTTTTTCATTTAATTTTATGAACAAATAACCGGGGAAAATATCGTATTGCGGCAGTGTCGAATTCAACAGAATACCGAATTTCTCTACCATAATTACAATAGAATTATTATTAATGATAACATCTTTCGTATTTATTTATTTAGTCATTTTTGTTCGCGTCTTACCTATTCGTTATGTATAAATAATATACGGTATCAAATTCACGCGCATTTGTGTTGGTATCCGCCCGCCAAAAGCTCACAGTTATATCGCCCACTATGAATTTCAGCTTAATCGGATATTATATACACGTGACAAATGATAAACGGCTTTGACGTCGTCGAATCTGCTGAAATCACGTCGTCGTAACGCCGCGACTCGAGAGTCTGGGGATGGTTTTCTATTATTATAAATAATATAATACATATAGACACATATTATACTGCGATACGGATTTCGCAGTCGTGTGAATTAAATGTTCGTCGCGGTTATTGTGCCGCGCCGAATAAGAAGTGGCGGTATGGTGGCGGCGGGGACGGGTAGCGGCAGCGAGACGAACTCTGCGGGGCCCGGGACGAGTTCCGCGGTAGAGGGAAACGAGCGTAACTCATATTATTATAATAAGATTCCTCCGGGGATAAACCGACCGACCGACCGACCGACGGAAATCTCATCCACCGCCGCCACCGCCGTTTCCATAAATAATTTATTATTTTGGATATACGTGGCGGCAGCGGCGGCGGCCAGAAATATGGCATAACGTTGGCGGTTATAAATCATTTTAAAATGTCGCTGGAAAGCCAAAACGGAAAACCGTTATCAAATATTTGTACAGGAGAGAGATAGAGCGAGTGAGAGGATAGAGAAGGTGGGGGGGGGACGTCGTCGTCGTCGTCGTCGTCGTCGTCGTGTATATCGTTACTCGCAGGGTGTGGTCGGGTCGGGACGAAGAAGGGTGTTATGGTGCTGTATAGCCGCAAAGGGAAAGAAAGGGATGTTTGCATTGGAGACGTGCCCGCAACGACGGAGAATATTAAGGGAAATTAAATATTTGGTATGGCCTGTAATCCGATACAATAAGGTGTACGGTAGGTAGGTATCGTAGTCGTAAAAAAAACCTAGAATTTCATTTCTTGTTTGTGTGTGTGTTTTAAGTCATTTTTATACTTAAAGTTAAGACCAGACGCCGTCGAAAAAGTATATTATGGCCTTTCACGACTTATTTATAATTTTTATCTTTTGCGCGTTGGAGTGTTATAATTTATCAGATGAATATACTTATAGTTATTATGAAAAACCGAACTTCGTGTCGCGGTGGTCGTTTTATCTTAGTTCTGAGGGGGAAGGGGAAAATCCATGAGTTGTTACGGAGTTCAAGCCCTTTCATTATCCTTATTGGAAATTTATTGTCCCAATCAGTACGAAACATTTTACATAGTTTTCGTGATTTTGATTGAAAAAATTGTCTATAAACCCTCCCGTTGAAAATTTCCGAGCATGCTTCCCTACAAATTCTTCCCTGTTTATGTCAACTGTTTACGCATAGATTTAAAATATTTTTTTAGATACAAAAATGTACCTATGTATCTATAACAACAAATGTTGATCAGTAGAGTACTAAATGTACAGTTACGGAACCCCAAGGGACGCCTCTTTAGATATTTGCTTTTTTGTTTGTGCATGCCACTGTTGCAAGCTGAAAGCTGGTATAAAATATAAAGAGTAAAAACAAAAAAAAAAAATGTATGGGTATTATTATTTATTGTCAGTTTTTTTGGTTTTTTTATCAGATTTTATAGAAAAATTTTAGGAGATCTTGAAACATTTTTCAATCGAAATACTAACGGGTTAAAAATCAGCACAATTAGACATAGTGCATTTTAAGTTATAAGATGTGAGCAATTCAGAACATTTTTACTACGTATCCGAAAAAGAGTTTTCAGAGAAAATACATATCTAACCATAACACATCACATTCTTTATTTAATTCTAAACTTCAAAATATGTGTCATAAAATGTATTTTTGTTTATGGTAAAAAAAAAAAAAAACAACATAAATCCACATACCTTTTTGAAAACGCATATTTTTTGAACTAGGACCCAATCATTATCACTACGACAACCGGTTATGCCTGAAAAAACAAAAAAAAAAACCATTATAAAAGGGCATTAATGATCTTATAGGAGTAGTGTCTTTTTTTTACCGAGATTTATCGATCGTAGAAAAAAAAAATAAAAATCAAAAACATAGTGATTGGTCAATAAAGTTATGTTTTTTTGAACGCGTGAAACCATTATGATGTTCGCGAGTTTTTTTTCAAATTATTAATCCGGGAGAACTCGTATTGCATCCGGATAATAATTAGCTTTTCATTGACACTAAACTAAATAATACCGCTAATATTTTCTATCGGTAAATTATAGTTAACTCTATACTCTAGCTGATATTGCTGATGGTGTGCCACTGTTTGTTGTAAATAGAAATTGAAAAGGTAGGATATATAAAGTTCTTTAACCTATTACATTTGTAAGAAATAGTTTACTGTTACTAATGAAAAACGAAGTTCGTTTGTACATTATTTAAAATGTCATAATATCTATACGGTTTTAATCAAAATTTGATTTTTAAATCCATTATAAAACATATTACTGTATTACTCTACTTTTTTTTTTTTTAACTACTAAATATTCCTCTAATATCCTGTGTTATTTTCATTTCGTTTATGTTTGGTCAAACAATTATATTAATAGAGTACCTGCCAATTAAAAACTATATGCGAAATTCATATACATAAAATGCCTATAAATAGCTTACATATCGCCAAAATAGGTTGATTATTTCAAGTCTCTACGACATTTTTTTTATTGAATTAAAACAAAAACCACAAAAATGAAAATAATGAAACAATTATTTCCGTAAATTTTTCTGTTCTTTCTTCGTTTTTTTCCAGTTTTGCTAAACTATTAAGAAAAATAGGATGGTAATTAATGACTTTATTATCAACCTACTAGATTAAAAATGCAACCAAATAGGTCTCTTGTCGATTATCAAAAAGATAGTAATCATAATAAAAATAAAAATTAATTGAATAGTTAGACCAATAAATCCCTCGATACTCTTCGAATCTAAAAACAAATAAAAAATAAAACATGATAACAAAACAATAAATTTAAACACTCTATCGAACAGATGTGAAACAGAAATATATATCAGTATCATAGTTTTGCATGTGAAATAAATAATGAACTCGAAACCACTGTTAAATAAACAGCAGTTTTTACGGATAAAAAAAAACAATAAACCGATTGTTCGGGTTTTCCAGAAATCGATAAAACTTCTAAAACTTCCTGAACTTATTGTTACACATTACGGCCGACCGGTGAATATTTTTGTGTTGTGGGGGTTGTACTTAAACGGCGGTTTAAATAATATTTATGAATAAGTGGCATCAGTAAACTAAAAAAAAAAATTATGTATATATTTGTGAGCAGCAGATCTCCATTACTAGAGTCGAATTTTTTCACTAGTCAATACGTGTTTCCGTAACAATATTTCATTTATTATGATTGATTTAAAATAGTTCTAGCTGCCAGAGTTGCTCTCTGGAGTTAATCATATTATATGCTTAGTTTACTTAAATTTGTATAAAAAGTATTCTATAAACTTCTGATAACGATAAGGGACCGACCGAAAAAAGTTTCATATAAACAGCGTGGGACAGGGAGTTTGCTTTGGAATTTGAAACCACAAAAGACACTCTTGATGCGTACCCTTAATCCGTGCATACACAAAGTTCAATCTTTTTGGCTTCATTTAGGGCGGGAGATCTTTCGAGTTTATATAATGCTAAAATTAACCATCCTCTTCACACAACACCTGAAGTTCAACCAAAATTGTGTCATTTCAATCAACCTATAAAAAACCGGAAATAAGGAATGGTTTCCAGGGTCAAATAAAATGTACGAATTGGTTTCGGATGAAAATTGCATACCGTCATTCAACTGTTTGAGTTGGTTCCAATGTGTACACATTTGTAAACTTATCAAATTTGATTAGGGTTATGATGCCTGGAGATTGCCGGGGAAAATTCTGATATTATAAAATAAAATATATTAATAAAATAGAATATTATATTTAACTCAACAAAAACAAACTCTAATTTCCGAGATTGAGCTATTTGGTCCAGAAGAAGCGGATAATGGCTAAATTTGTCTAAAAATACAAGAAAAAAGATATGTATGTGTAATAAACTCAAATATAGTGCAATGGTCTCTATTGTTGGTGGAAAATTCGATAAAAATCTTGTTTCTCCGCCTTGGATTAAATTTTAAAAATATTTTTACCTAGCCAGTAATAACAGTATTAGCGAAAATCAAAAAAATTAAAACCAACTAAAAAAAGGGTAAACCATTTTTACTGTTTTACCGCTAACATTTTTCGGCGAGAATATTATTCAGTTCTCGACGTTTGTATTAATTATTATAGAAATATTCGATTTTTATATTCGACCTACACACGTTTGTTTTATCTCTTGATAATATTATAATTTATAATATTATACGTAATACGACCTTTCAACGGAAATCGTTAATAATTATTTATTATTTTAACATGTATATATTAATTTATATTAACTTTCAATGGTGTGTTATGGAAAGAATAAAAATACTATCGTAATTAATGCATGTAATACCATATCAGTACGATAATTAATTTTAATGTTTTGCGTCGATAATTTATTATTATTATTTTTTCTTTTTGATTAATCAATATTTATACAAAACGTTTTAATAATACCTATATGAAAAAAAAAAAAAAAATCTAACAAACGAAGGTCCAATGTTAGTGATTTTGTACGTTATATTTGCTTATAATTTTTAATAAACTAAAATATGGACTTGTTTTATTTATTATAATATAATTCATATGCATATCAGAAGAACAGCCATAACTCGATAACAAATTCCTTTTAAAAAAAATATCAAAACATTATATTGATGTATTCATTAAATATATTAATTCCACGATATATTAAATATGTGTTACTAAAAAGGCTAATATACAATATAATGGTATTATATTACTATATTACGATATTTACGACTATAGTCTGTTATTGTTTTTTCTTCTTTTTTTAAACTACGGAGATTAGTCCATAACAAATTCATTTACAACATATTATGTTAACTTTACACTTGCACGTTATCTGCCATATCCTTGAGCTCTTAGTAATTATGTACATTAAGTACTTACCTCGTTCTTGGTTTTCCTCGTGATGGTGATCTTGGACATTACCTTCAATTATTAAGCTGTGTCATCACCATGTCTCAGCGTATGACCCGCCGTCTCCTTTTCATAGGAGTATCTATTAATGTTCGTTTCTCTTCAATTGTCTTTAAACCGTACTTATTTGTTCTTATTTCTGTCCAAATTATTCTCCATATTTTTTTCGACTTTTTTGACTTTACAGAATAAAATTATCCTTCTATTTTGTTTGCTTATTGTTAATGTCCGGTATCCATGTATGGCCGCCATCATCCGTATACCCCATACACACGGTTTTATTCATTTCTTGTCAGCATTTTCATATGTTCTGAAGTCATTAATTTCTTCTTTATGAGTAAGATATTTTCCGTTTGTTCTATTTTATTCTCATATAAATATATTTTAGTTTTATTTAATTATTGCGCGTTATCATATAAATTTGTCTCATTATCAATTAATATCAATTAATTTCGTATACTACGTTTTATTCATATGTATTTATTTTAATCGTTGTGTATATTGCAATATACATTTACGGAGGTATGTACACTTATTCCAGCAGCAGATGAAAATGAATATCCCAAATAATAAGTATAATAAATAATATCCGGTTTTAATTTGAATAAGTAATATATTCGCAAAAATGTTTTTTTTTTTTTTTTTTACATTACATAATGTGATCATGTTCTCATCATGGTCTCTCTGCACAATAAAATATGAATTATTATGTCAGTGCAGGGGGCTGAGGAGAAATAAAAATGTTATATTAGATTTTTGACATTCTGATCAATGGACATTTTTCACTCCCGTTAATAATTTTATTGTGCGTTCGTCCAATAAAAATATAATATTTCGACATAGAAATTTACGCTTGCACTAATTGTGTTTTTTGACATATGTGAAATATACCATCGTATTAAACCATAAATTATTATACATTGGTACCCCGTTTAAACTTTAAAAAAAAAGACCAATGAAAAATTAAAAAAAAAATAGATCTATTTGCTGGATAGTTAATTTTTATTTTTTAATATTAATTAGTAGAAAACAGATCTCCAATAAATTCGAGAAAATAAAATAATTTGGTTAGAACATACTAATATTTAGCGGTACAGTGGAAAACCTTTTGATGTGTAATTTTTTTAAATATTTTTTTTAGATTCGTATAGTGTAGTGAAGAAAACATTTCTTAGGTTAATGAAAATGTTCCAAACCTTTCACATTGTATCCTTTATTTAAAAAATGCGGATGAAAAGTCCGGTGGTTCTCTGTTTGATAGGTAGGTAATTTTTAATAATTCTCAACAGTTGTTCTAAAAAGTCATTACGTTTGACAACAAATGACGATACATCAATTTTTTTTTGTTTTTACAGTTTTGGTCTACCTTGAGAAAAATATACTGTTTTTGATTGCAACCACTTATCGTTGATTCAGTAAACGTCCAATTTTTTTGAAGGCGTGTTTCAAAAATCATCGGCCAATAATGATCCTATTGAAATGCAATTTTAACAAGTCATTATCGTTTATGTGGTTTGTGTAAAAGATTGGCACTGTATTTTGGCAGTAATTTTGTTTATTTCCATTATTATTATTATATTTTTTTTATTTTTGAAGATCAAGTTTTCGCCAACAACACCCATTTTATGTACCTTTCATCGAACGATCGCGCTATGGATTGGCGCCAGATTTGTTTTTTTTTTTACTTTTGAATTTGTCTTCTTATAGGAACTCCGCGAGAATAATAATCGATTAAATACATATAATACAAATATAAAATAATAATAATTGGTTTATTGAAAAAAAATCTATAATTATAATAATTAATAATGCAAATAAATATTAATTATCGTTTAAGTTGAGTCCGAAGATCATTTTTACTTAAACACGAAGAAAGAATAAAAAAACCAAGTGTAACCAAGTGGACTGCGAATTATTTTTACGAGATAAAATGACCAAATAATAAAACATTTTCTGATTTCTACTTTTAAAATCCGTACCATTTTATTTTCTTCGTACAATTGTATAATAATTTCATTTCTTTGAATTGTTAAAAATTAAACACGATGTCGTATTGTATTTGTTTAAACACTACAATATGAGCAAATAATATACACAATTTTTATTTTGTTTTTCTGGAACATTACACTTGGCCAACTACCTCCGTGGTGCCTTCCGGACAACGATAACATATTTTTGATATAACCTAAATAACATAAATATAACATATTTTTATTTTTGATTCAATTTAATAATCCCGAGAAAAAAGTCATAAATATCGTCAATTTCATGTTAAAACAAAAATGTGTTTATTGTATACCGATCCAACGAAAAACACGTTTAATACTCAATGTAAACAAATTTAAATAATTACAACACGAAAACTAAATATTATGAAATAAAAGAAAACTATATCGAAACAATGCTAAACGATCCGACAATAACGATAAAAAGCCATTGCTCGTACAACGTCTCCGAGAATTGGTGCGCCGGGCCGACAAATAAATAAAATATAAATAAATCTCGAGGCGACAATAAAGTAATACTACTACGCGGGGTTGTGGATAAGAAGAAAGAGAAACGATATCCTCTCTCCCCCGGGAATATCCGGGCGCCATTAACCCCTCCACCCACCCTCCCATAAGCTAGCTTTCCTCGTCCCGGTCAAATTGCCCGGTCCATTTTGCGCGCATCCCTATGCCTAAAAAAAAAAAAAAAAAAAAAAAAGAATACTGTTTTTTTCCTTTCTCCTTTGCATATATAGTTTTTATAAGACGCCATCTTCAGCCCTTCAAAGTGGCGGCGTTTATACACTGTAGGAAACTCTGAAAGTTTTACGAGTTAATGAGTACACAGTGGAGTGCTGCTTTGACACTGGACCAATGTAAAAAAAAAAAAAAAAACTCGTTTGAGTTTATCATCTCCTAGTAATCAAGTGAATATTACGATTATCTTAATTAGTATACGGGGTATATGCAAGTTGAGATTTGAGATTTTGTCAGATACGAGTACTTCCTATTATTAGTTTTATTGCAAGTTTTCAAATAATTTCTTTTATTTACTATTAACTTCTATGTGGACTCCTATAGTAAATAATTATATATATTTCATAAAAAAACTTGAAATTGTTGAAATACTTATAGTAACCTAATTTTTAACTAAACAAATTGTCATTATATTTTGAAATGCATACCACGTCTAGCAAATGTTTATATTAGTAGTAGATTAAGAGCTATTTAAGAGCTCTGCGGTTATTTTCATTGAATACAACGTGTAAAACAGAATCGAAATTAATAGCAACCGGTTATTACTTAAATATTAACGTTTTTTTTTCCGATGCTTTTCTGCTCTTTTTCACAGTTATCAAGAAAAGTATAAGGGGTAAATAACTTATCATATAATTACTGTAAAGAAATTATTATTGGAGTAAGTCCTTAGGTCGACAAATTATTGAAAAATATATATTATATGTGTAAAAAATAAACACATAGTAAAATTAATACATTTGCTCAGAATCAAGAAAGTACTTTACAGATTTATCGTGTTTTACGAAAAAGTAGAAAATATTATATTTGAATTTTAAAACGAGTCTCTGGACAAGCATATAGCAATAAAATAGTTTATTTTTTATAGGCACGAAACCATTTGATTTATCATCAGCCTTTATTTACGCGTATTTATAATCGGTTATTTGTGAATGACAAGATTTAATACTGCAATTAAAAAAAAAAAAAAAACGTTGTTTCTATAATATTCATATTATTTTCATATTTTGTACATCCAATATTTGCCGTTGCATGTTGTCCCGTTGTGTTCTGAGCAATCAAACACATTGTGGATTTTTGTAAGAATAATAATACCTAATTATTTAAATTTAAACAATCGCTGTATCATTCGTACATTTCGTTTAAATTATTAATATTTTATATTAGCATTGCGTTCATTATAATAGTATTAAATTGTCAAGTTTTTTTTAAAATCCTAAGTTTCAGTTTTAAATTAAAATTTGACTTTCACCGTTTAAACAGAATCTTCTTTTAAAATAAATTACGGTTCATATTTTTTTTTTTATTTCATACCTGATAAGTTCACGCGTCAACAAAATAAACGTTCTTTCCTGCACATATTATATTATTTGCAGTAACCCACGTTTTGTAAATGTCACGAATTTCTCATTAATTTTTCGCCGTGTAATTTTGTTTGCTCGTTCTCGTTATTCCCCTGTATACACCGGAGGGTTTAAATCTGGTGCAATACTGTTTGCGAAGCGGCAGGCTAACCACTGCAACCACTGATAAGCAACCGTTTTGCATTAGACTCTGTTTCTGTTTTACCACGGATTACGCGTTCCTCCTCTCTCTCTCTCTATAGCTGTTCCATCGCAGTTCTTTGCTCTTTACCCGAAATTGCCCTGTAAACTTTTACGGTGTTTCGCCCGAATCCGTTCCCCTAAAAATTATTTATTATTATTATTATCATACAATGATCTTTTTCTCCTTTTCTCCTCGGCACGCAGCATTTTGGTTGACATACACGTAAGTTTATGTAAATGTGATTAATTTATGTTTGCAATTAATCGGTATACACGGCCGTCAGTTATGGGTAGAAATATATTATTATTTTTTTTTTTGGTTCCTTATATTTCAGTTAAATCAAGTTATATATTGATATAATTCCGGATGTATTTCGTAGTTCATTCTATCGCATGGTATGCGATGTTGTTTATTATTTTACTTTTAAGGGTTGTCAGTTTCGTTTGTGAACATAAACTGTTACCGTTCGTAAATTGCATTAATTTGTATTGCGTTACCTACGAAAAACAAAACGAAAAAAAAACTTATTATTCGTAAATTATCGTATAGTTATTATAGGCGTAGCTATTTCAACTATATTAAATACAATGTGTGACGGACAAGATAAACAATTTAAGTTGTTTGTTACGTCGGATATAGTTAAAACTAGATTACGTGGGCGCAGTGTGCGCAGTGCGAACTGAAAGCTAATTACATTAATTGCATACAGTCATTAACCTAAGTGTGTATTACATAGAGCCGGCTGATCGAATTATGGGCCGAACCTCGTCGTGGGGTGAATAAAAATATACACACAGACCTCAGGTAACATTATTTAGCTAATTTACCACCGCGGCGTGGCGTAATTGTCATTGTGTACGTGTGTAAAATGGCAATATTTGATGTCGATGTATCATCGTTGACGGGAATAAAAAAAAATAAATCTTCTAATATGGCCCAAATTCTGAGATTTCGACATTAAAATACTGTCTAATTCAGGTAAAAAATGTACGCTGCACTGTAATAAATTCGTCTTGCCGTATATTATCTTCATTGCAGAATAATTATGACCAATATTAATAATAATAATAAAAAAAAATAAAATTGTTAAAAAAATATATTGTCCATAAATTGCCTATATTATCGGTTGCTTAGCAAAACCTCGTAACTCGAAATTTTAACCGCCTTCGGTAAATGTTCAAGTCTGTCATAGTTTTACGCTTTCCTTGTAAAATTTGTTAAAAAAGAATGTCTAAGGTTTTTGCTAGGTAGCCGACAATATGCAATATGTAGCGTTGGACAATTTTCCGGTAAATTTTATTTACAATTACAGTTCTTGTAATAATTATAATACTTATTTCTTATAATCCGTCTTGTTTTTTTTTTATTGAAAAGTTATTATTTAAAATGTTTTTTAAATTATATACTAAAATATAAAAATAATAATAAAACTTAAATATAAAAATTAGGTATCTAGCCTTTAATTCTATTGATTAGAGGCCTGTTTCACGAAAAAAAAAAAATCTAGTTTCTATATAGAAAAAACAACAATATTAAGAATATTATAATATAGTAAAAAAAAGTATTTACCCAATTTTTGGATAGGTAAATATACTTTCGGGTAAATACCCAAAATATTTACCTACTGGTTACATCACTACTCCTACATGATTTTTCAAAATTAAATTGGAGGTATTGTGATGCGAAAATCTCTTATGGAAAACATATTGACAAATACTTTTATGGTATGCACCTAATATTTTTATATCATTTGATGAATGAGGCATATGGGAAGTTTTTTCCTGTTAACGATGGTAATTTTTTGTATTATATATTTTTTGATGAAATCGAAATGAATACGTGTATAATAGGTACATAGCCTATTATACACCTTCACGCCACATTTACTAGGAAATATAATATATTTTTAGAATGAATAAGTCATATTAAATTACTTTACATCGAATTATATTATATGCACAAAAACATCGGTAAGCTCCAGAACTGTAGACATCGATTGGAAACTCGGTAAATGGAAACTACACAATTTTCTACGGATTTATCAAGAAACCCATAATTTAGAGAAATATAACGTATTGTAGAAATCTACGATAATTATTATTAGAGATACAATTTTAATCATTTTATCCTGAAAAATACGATATAAGAAACAGATATATTACATGGAAATGGGGAACAAATTTACATTTTAAGTGACATAGACATATAACAATATACGTAATATGTATTGTAAAAAAGTACGATAGTTTAACTAACATTTTTTAAAAGCCGCTTATTTTCTGGTCATAGTTTTTCATACATCTTTTTCCTAATTTGTTATTATAATTCTATATATAATTCAATGTTAGTCTTTTTATTGTGTATTTTTGGTTAAAAACTTTATTATTCCATATTTTTTTGACTTATAGACAAAGGACTCATCATATAGAACTGAAAGCAATGTGTAATGAATTAGATATATCAAGAAGTTGAAATACTTCAAAACTGGATCGGGCATATTTGGCGAGAAGAGTGTGGTCAATTAATACGCGTATGATCACCATGTCTATAAAGCTGACACTAAAATACTAAGAACACGATCAAGATAGCGATGGAGTGTCAGGGATGATCTTAAGCTCCTGGGAAATGAGGATTGGGAAACATTTGACCATAGATAGGGGTACATGGGGTGAGAGGCGTATTGGAAGTGGCGGTAGGCTTGAATAAAGTATCAGAAAAAATACAATTTTCCGAAAAATATAATCTCTATCGGCAATAATTCATTCGGATTATTAAAAACGATAATTGATAATAGGAAATACAAATATTATCGAAAACATATTAAACTAAAATGTTACGTTTTATTCAGTAATATCATCACCGAACGAAATAATATATTTCCATTATTCTCTCGATCATTCAGTTGAATTGAAAACGATAAAAACTACAGATTTGTGCCCGTAATAATATTATTTTATATTATTATAAAGCGATAAAATAATATCTCTAAATATCTATCGAGGGGATGGCTTGCGGCAGTACAATGCGAATTTATTCATGTTTAAAATATCGAAATTGTGTCGACGGATTCGTAATGGAGGAGTTCATCGGCCGGCATGAAATTATAGTTATTATATTGGTTTCACTACTATATATAGGCACCCTAAAAACTTGTGTTAACGGTGAATTTATAGACGTATAAAATACGTACGATTTGGGGTGGACAAAAAAAAAAAAGAAAAAAGGGAAAGAGAAAATGATTTCTATTTCAGTAAATACTCCCGTTGCTACTGCTGCTGTAAGTCCGGGGGCGTTCAGAAGCTTTTAGAGAGTTACGTCGTCTTTGCTGCTATACCACCGCCGCTGCAGTTCTCGGTAAATGAAATCAACCGAGTGTGAACATATTTTAAAAGAACACTCGTAATTCACTTAAATGGCCTCGTTGTGTTTACTATTTTGACACGACTGCGAGGCGGCGTGTGCGAACTGCTCCGTGAAGCTTCACAGCGGTAGGGTGATTGTTATTGGCTACCAGCAACGATAACGTTTGGTCATCGTCGTCATGGTTGGGGGGGGGGCGTGGGGTTCTTTCGTTAAATACTATTCCACCCGCGGTTCTCGTATGAATAAAGACTTTTGTATTGGAATATACATCGTGCCGGGTGGACGATTTTCGTTGTTATTATTATGTTTAAGTGCAATAACTATAGTAACACATTATTATTATAAAGTTCATTGAAATAGTATAAAATATGTCTATAAATACAAATTCTAAAATTATCAAGACGAAAAATGTTAGTGTTCTCATTAATATAGTCGGATGAGTAGATTATTTTTTGATGGTAATTTAAATTACGACAATAATGTAGAAACTATGTTCACGACATTACTTGAATTACGCACTGGCTCACAGAAACTAATTAACTGACGTAATATACTTGACGGGCATAAATTTGTTTGTTTACTCTAGTTTATTAAAATTAAAATAAGAATAAATGTATTTAATATTTTTTTTTTTATAAAGCACGCATATTTCAAGAACTCAAATTATCATGATAGGGGAATATTATTATATTGAAGTTTTGTAGAAACGACTGCAATTATTCTTGAACTGACGACAGTTGTAATATCTTTTTTCGTAGACTTCGTGATAGTTAGCTGCAAAAAAACCAATTTTACTTTGGACAAATGTTCAAATAAAAAAACGCTAGAAAAATCAGCTTACATAGTATTTTTAATCTGGCATTTAAATGCAAATAAAACAATTATAAATGAATAACCAAAGTGATGCCAGAAAATAACAAATTTAAATAATTTATACTTATTACTGAATTATATTAAGAAAAAATTCTGATTAAACATATATATAGAGGATACAAATATTAGGAAATATATAAATACTTCCTCTATATTTTGAAATAATAGCGGAATAAAAACTGATCATCTCGACAATTTCCTACGGTGGTGTTAAAATTAACATCATAAAATTTGCTAACAAACTGCTTTCTATATGGTTTGATGTGACCAACCGCAAAATAAACGGTTCGACAAAGTTAAAGATACAGCAGGGACCGAAATTACATCAAAAGTTTTCACTAGTTTTGTTGAAATCTACTACCTGGGGACGCGCGGGTACTAAAAGCGTCTACTTTCATATAGTTTATAATGTAAATGCGAGATTGTAAGTATATATAGTAGTTGACCGTCGAGGCTGTTAAAAGATTGCGATCCATGAGATGTTTGAATACAACGTAAAATATCTCTGGACAGTTTAGCTGGGTATACATAAATAGACCTGTGATGTAAATCAAGACATCTTAGTGTACCTAACGATTACTACCGAGTTAAACAAATATAAGACGTAACTTATTTTAGTAATACGAACCTATTCGATCGAATAATGGTGATAAAAAATAAATTTTTCCCAAAGTACTAAATATTAAATCCCTAAATCTTTTAAAAAAAAACGAACCGAAAACAATAATAAACCGATAAGAATCCGTGAATTGTCGATAATCCGCATAATATTTCAATATTGTAGTAAAAATGTTAATTTAGAATAAAATATCCCGCAATAATTAGGGGGAGAGGGCGAAAAATATGAAAGTAAATTTGTAAAGTGATTATAGCTACATTCTTGTAGTATTTTCTTCCATTGTGTTTAAAAAATACCGTTGCATCATTATTGTGTCCCCTTGTTTTTTTATTACTTTAATGACTTACTCATTTATTTCGAGAAATTGTGTTTTAATTCTTGTTATTTGTTCGTGACTGTATTTTTCATCATTTTAGGTAACAGCTAGGTATTCGTCGAGTGAAATATTTGATATTCGAGTAAAAATTATCAGGATTCGGTTTACAATGAATAGTAGTAATCAGATCTTACGAAACACATATTTACTATATTATAAATAATTCCTATAAATGGAAATCCGCATAAAAAAAAATAACACTAAAACGTTAAACGGGAAAATAATAAAATGATAAATGACTATGGTAGTTTGTTTATCATATTTTGCGGAACGTGACACAAAAAACAAACGATATACGGTTGTTTTTGATAAAATATATTAGTAAATATATACATATATACATATTTTTTTAACCAGAAAATTTAAAATAAGTAACATCCTTTTAGTTTTTTTTTTTGTTTTTGCAACTAAAATACCTCACAAAACGTTCGTTTCGTTTTACAAATATACCTATAAGTGTAAATATTCAAATACTTTTTAAAAATAATTTAGTTATATTTATGTATAATAATAGCTTATTGCGGTGTTATTATACGTTATAATTCCAAAACTCGTACTAAAAGTTGGGAATTAACAAACTATTGTCAAAATGTACCCGCACAAACGCGAAACAATCGTTGATGATAATATTTCTGTTTGATATTCTGTTCACTGAAGTGAATGCCGGTGGAATTAATGAAAAAAAAAAAATAAATAAAATATAAACATGATTATTTTTGTATTATTTATTTATACCAAACTTGTGCAGTGACAGTGTACACTTCTCATTCATGTGTGTACATTGTGTTTGCGTGAGTTAAATATTACAAAAAAAAAAAAAATAAAAAAATAAAAAAAAAAAAAATAATAATAAAATAAAAACGTA